GTCAGGTCAGGTCATCGCTCAAAATTGGTATACCGGTAGTCTGCGAAAAGGACACTTTTTCATTTGTATACCTTAAGTTTCTGCTACATTGTTAACTATCCTAGACACAAAAATACATTTAAGGCTGTCCTTAGGGTCAGCTGAGGTCAATTTGGGTCAAATCTACAAGCCATCGGAACTGGGAAAAACTTGAGGAACCAACCAGCGCGAGGCTACGTGACCGGCGCAATACTTTTCCGTGGTCACAAATAGTGTGTTGTGAATCTACAAGTGCCCAAGATGGCATAATTGTTTTATACATGATGCATAGTTACTTGCACGTTTTGCAACGTTTTTTTGTGACGACCTGAGGACAGGCATGCTGGTACGCAAAATAATTCGTCACCAGCTTCACAAACACGATATAGAGGTGGTCACACGCATCGCACTTGCTGATCTAACCTCTCCATCGCTGACAGGGGCCTTACGGGACGGATGCCTCCATTGGAAATCATGTGGGATGCATTGACGGCGTGGCAGGGACTCGAACCTAAGGCCGACAGGTACAGAGCCGAGCGTCCTAACCACAACTATACGATCACCGACCCTCCCGCTATGCCAACACACACACATTGCCGACCCGCAAACGGCCAGCAGTGGCTGGCGGCGGAGGGCGGGGGGGGGGGGGGGGAGAAGCTAGCTTGATGATCTTACCACATATGGTAACCGGCGTAGAAACAGAAAGAAAAGTACATGCATTTTTCATCAACATAGATGGACTGCCGTGGGATGCCCGCGCAGGGACAGGTGATTGAATCAAGCCCCATCGAAGATGACGCTGGGATGACATTGATCGGACAAGGCGCTGTTTGCATCGTAGTATAGGACAATCATAGTAAGGAGTAATAGTATCAAGACACGCTCGGCTACATTAGACAACGAAGTTCTTTAAGGCGCTGATGAGTGGTAGATATCATTAAACCACTGGTCCACTGTCCGATATCATGGCACGGGGATTAACGACGAAACAGGGCAGGTCGTAATTACGTGCTGAAAAAGGTCGCGAGTGGGCCGGTAATCACCAGGGGATTACGTCGAGGGGATTAGCAGTGGGGTGATGACGGCAAAACGTAGCGGGCTGAACGGCACGAGTGGAACCCGCCCAATGGAGAGAGGTCGTTTGAGCAATGACATCAAGTTAAACTATCAACGGTTGCTAGCAAAGTTTGGAAAGTTTCAGTGAAAATTACTGAAAACGATGCGCATGGCAAGGATTCCCCCAAATGCAAGGACGTTTTCAGTGTCTGCAACATTGATGTCCGTCTCAGATGCAATGCAGTCCAGCCAAGCAGAATACCTCCGGAACAGCCAATTTTCATCCCAAGTCATATGCATGACACCCTAGAACACAACACGCTTTGTAAAGTATTACCTCATGCATCCCGCTCCGTACAATATGTCCCCAATTTTGACAGCGAAACGAAATCTGCGTGAAAAAATTATTTTGCGTTCGGGTGGATGTCCGTCAAGATAGCGTCGCATTCGTATTTGACTTCATTGTCGAGTTCAGATTTTCGAAAGTACCTTCCCTAGGTAAATTCAGTGAGTTCTTCACGAATTTGCAGCCCTCTTTTCTCTAAGTCACTTCATGTGACCTCAACAGGTCAATGAATGGTCACAACATGGGCACCCTGCCATTCCGTTACTTGTCGAAAAAATCCAATAAAATGGGCATCATGTTAATGATTGTGATGTACATTTTCATCACATGCTCGTGCTCGAGATGCTCGTGATATCCACTTTTATCGCATCCAAAAACTTCTTTCGAGGTCAAATGTCAATGTCACAAAATAAAGCATGATGTCGTGCATTTTGTCGTACAAAAATGCAGAAAAAACATGTTATATTGAAGCTCGCGACGCCCATTTCCGTCACACTTGCAAAACTACCTCTGAAGGTATACGGCTAAGGTCAACAATAAAACACAAAAACGCACCCTGACATTTCTTCATTTACTTAAGAAATGAAACATTCTCCAGGCATACTGATGATTGTAAGGTCGCTTTCGTCGCATTTAAACTAAAACTTACTCCTAAGGTTGAAAGTCAAGGTCACGTAAAGCGCAGTACCATGGAGTTTATTCGTTTATTTGAAAACACAAAAATCACGTCATATTGATGGCTGTGAAGTCTACTTTCGATACACCTGAAGAAAACAACTCTCAAGGTAAAATATCAAGGTCACATAAAAGCCAGTACCTTGATATATGGTTCTTTATAGTACGACAACAGTAGCCACCTTGAACATCAATACAATACTCTACCTATGACAGTTATTGAGTAAACGAAATTCCCGGGTATCACGTTTTTCGAGACCTTGACCTTTGAAGTTGAGCCAGTTTTTCCGAGTGTCTCAAAAGCGGACATTACGAGCATCAATGACTTGATTTTTGTCATTTCTTAAGAATCGGAAGAAATGCTGCGGTGCCGCGTTTTGGTGACCTTGATCTTTCCCCCAGTTAGTTTACTTAAGTGCGACTGAAGCAGACACTACGAGCATCAATATGATACCCATTTTGTGGTATCTTATTAAACGTGCGGTATCTTAGTAAAATAAGCGAATATACGCGTCGGCACTGGGCCTTGACCACTGACCTTGATAAATATTATCTCTAAATGTGAGGGAAGCGGACATGCTGAGAATCGGAATATCTTTCATGTGATATTCATCAAGCTAGAGTTATGAAGTTAAATAAATGCTAGAGTACAGCACTTTTTCTGACACTGATCTCTGACCTTCAGGGAATTTTTTTCGAAGTATGACGCAAGTGGAAATCCTGAGCGTCTGATACCTTACCTGTGGTATCTATGCGGTACTTGTAGTATTTAAAAGTAAACAAAACTTGTCAGGGTGACGCGTCTTTGTAACTTTGACCTTTGACCTTGAGTTAGCTTATATATGTGTGACGAAAGCAGACATCACTACCATCAATATGATATGACTTTTTACCTTTATAAAGTAAACGAATCAATGACTGGGTACCGACTTTTTGTGCACATGACCGCGGACATGGAGAGTTTGTTTTCCGAGCGTAAGTAAAGCAGACGTTCAGAACACTAATATGGCACGCCTTTTGTCACATTTCTTAAATAAACGAATACCTTCCAGGGTACCACGTTTTACATGGCTTGACCACGACCTTGAGTTAGTTTTTCCAAACATGACGAAAACAAATATCACGACCAACAACACGAGGTTTTTGCTGTATTTTTATACGTAAACTAATGCATGATAAAACATAGAGTTTGTGAGCTTGGCCTTTGATCATACGTAAGTTTTTGCTTGCGTGAGAAAAACAGACGTCAAAAACATCAATATCACAATCATTTAACTGTGTTTCTTTTAAATGAATGAATGCTAAGCTGACGCTTTTTGTGTGGCTTTGAACCTCGATCTTTATATTTTTACTCGCTGTGACGAAAGTGGACACACGGGCATCACTATGATATCCATTTTATTTCATTTATTTGGTCGACGAATCAACTTTAGTGTTCTGCATCTGGTGACACTTTAACCTTTGACGTTGAGCTAGTTTCTGGAGGTGGACGAACTCAGACATCGCGAGCACCACTTTCATACCTCTTTAGTGGCGTTGATTTGGTAAATGATTAAATGCTACGGTAGCACGCTTTGTGACTTTTACCTTTGACCTTAAAATTTTGTTTCTGCGTATGTGACCAAAGAGGACGCCACGATTATTACTGTGCACCATTTTTGTCGCACTCTTACAGGGGCAAAAATGTAATGGCATCCAATGCTATGAACCTTAACCAATGATCTAGAGGGTGAGTCTTTTTAGATGTGACCAAAATAGACATCACCGGGCTCGATATCATTTTGTTGGATTTCTTCGGAAAGCAAAGGAACGACACGGTACCTAAGTTTAACCGTTCATTGACCAGTAGAGGTCAAACTAATTAACTTAGGGAAAAGAGGATTGCAGATCCGTGAATAACTCAGTGTGTTTCGAAATCTGCATGAAAAACTAATGAATACGAAATAAGGCGAACACTCCAGTAAAAACAGGCGATGTTTGAGCTCGGTCTGATCTTCACATAACCCTAGGTCAATGTTATTTGCCGTAATGATAAATTAATTGGTTTCGTTGCTTAAGAAACGGCCACAGAGATGTCGATGTCAGAGTTGCTGTTTCAGTCGGAACGATACCGTACAAACTGCTCTATCTGGCATCCTGGGTCTGACTTTGATCTACCATATGTCAGCGATCGTACAAATTACATCTAATTTTGTATGCCTTAGGGCTGAGAAGCCTACGGGGGTCAAATTACCCCCGCACCCGAGATGTCCGTCAAGTTAACGTATTGGTATTCGAATTAACTGCCCCAGTTAGTGTTTCCTAATGCAGTTTCCCTTGGCCAAACACACTGAGTTATTCACGGATCTGCAATCCTCTTTTCCCTAAGTTAATTAGTTTGACCTCTACTGGTCAACGAACGGTTAAACTTAGGTACCGTGTCGTTCCTTTGCTTTCCGAAGAAATCCAACAAAATGATGCGGGCTCTCTCTCAAATGCGCGGCTCTCTCTGAGCGGACGGGGACGACACGGCGAGCGGCGCAGACCGCCGGGGAAGGAGCGCAGACGCGGCGGAGACATGCAACCACGGAAACATGCCGACCAGGCGACTACTCGTGCTGGCAGGCGCAACATAGCGTCCGAATGTTTGCCGTGGCGCCTGAGTTGTCCCTCGTCGATTCCGGCGACTGCAGAGGCTCGCCTGGCGATGCCGGCCTGCTCGCTGGCGTGCACGCTGCTCCGTTGCGGGCGCTACACGGAGGGGAGCGGAGCCCCGTTTCACCACGAACCCGCCCGTGTGGCCGTGGGGCAGCGCAGGAAGGTCGGCTGCCTCAACCACAGCGGTCTGGGTCGTTGGCTGATGATACGTGGGCGTCGCCCCAGCGCGTATTCACAAGCGTAGCCGATCCATTCACATCCATGCTCCATGCTACATCCGGTGCGATGCGTAAGGAATAAAAAGGAAGCTCAGGCTCGCTTCGCTACGCATGTAGTTCTCAGAGCTGTACGGGCCGATAGGCTTCGACCGCCAGCGCCCCCACGCGGGCGCGACGGTGGCGCCTCCCAGCTCCTCCGCACGCTGCCGCGTGCCTCTCCCCGTGTCGCCCCATCAGCTGCTCTTGCCAGGCTTGCGCCAGCGATGCAGCACTGGCTGCGTGTTGACCTGCGCCGCCCTGCTTCCTTTCGCAGCGGTGCATGCCTTAGGTCAGACTGTTGGCGGCAGTGTATTAAATACGGTGCGTCACCTAGCTGGTGTGTACCGCTGATCCGTCTTCCTTCCTTTGCTCGCGATGAGCAAGTGCCTGACTTTTACGGCGACTGCTTCTGCGGCGTAACCGTTGGCTGTTTGGTGACCTGAAGCATGATTGGTCGCCTTGTCTGACGATCCGATCGTCCCCAACAATTGCACTGAGGTCTCGGGTCAGACCGTGACCGTAGGGCCCGAATCCTGACGTCACCATATCCCCGCCTCTCCCATGGCTCTCTGTGCTCCGTTCCACAGATTACAGTGCCGCCGTCTGGCCTGGGTACGGACGCCTGCACGGAGGACTGCTTGCTGCGCCACGCCCAGTTCGTGGTGGACCAGGTGCAGAGCTTCGACCTGGCTGGCGGTGACGAGGAGGCGCAGCTGCTCACCACCGCCTGTGTACGCGCCCTCATCCGGCTGGCCGGCGTCACGCTCGGAAAACGGTAGATGATGGCCGTGGTGGCGTCACAAACGGTGTTCCACTAGATGCTGCCGAAAAACGACACTCAAACACTGCACATGGTTATTAATGTGGGGGGGGGGGGGGGGGACAGTGGTGGTAGGCATTCGCACCATATACGTACATAGGCATGACGAAGTGAGGTGATTCGCTCTAATGAGCAACGGCTACAACTGGGTCGCTCCAGTGTTCACGGCGGTACAGCGGTTCATTACTCTGACTGTCACGAACTTGGCGAGTTTCTGTCGGTTGTCTTGGTCCTTTGAGAACACTACATATGGGAGCGACCATTTCCCAATATGGCTTGGGATGAATGCTGGACACCCAGGCAGGAGGCCTTCCTGCTGGAACCTTCGACGTGCTAACTGGCAAAAGTTTACTGACGAGTGCCTTATTAGAGTGCAGCCGACCGAGGACGACCATGCAACGTCTCTTGCACAACAAGTGATATCCACAACTGTCGACACTGCAAGGTCTTGCATTCCCTTGACATCACCTGAGCCGCGCAGGATCCCTGTTCCCTGGTGGTCAGAGGAATGCAAGGCGGCAATTCTTAAGCGGAAGCGGGCGTTCAGGGTTTTTAAGCGTTCTGCAACGACCAACAACCTCATCGCTTTTAAAAAGGCCAGAGTATTTGCGAAACGCACAATACGTGAGGCAAAGCGTACATCGTGGAGGAAATATGTAAATGGTTTAAATCGTCACACCCCACTGAGTGCAGTGTGGCAGCGAGTTAGTCGCATTTCCGGTAGGAGCGTCTCCACTGCAGTTCCGGTGATGAAAGTGGCGGGAATCACGATATTGAACACACAGGAAGTTTCCAGCAAAATAGGTCTCGCATTTGCAGAAAGGTGCCGACATGGAACAGACGACCCATGCTTTATTCGTTACAAGGAACAATGTGAGAAGACGGCAATCAATTTTAGAATTCCTGACTCAGAGATTTATGAGTACAACCAACCGTTCACTGTCATGGAGCTCTGCACTGCTCTTAAGAGAGCTAAGAGTGTGTCGCCTGGATTGGATAAAGTCCACAATGATAGGTTGAATCACCTAAAGAAGGAGTCCCTCCATGCCTTACTTGAACTTTTCAACTACATATGGTTGCAAGATGACTTCCCAGAGTCGTGGCGGGAAGCCATTATAGTCCCGATACAGAAGCCCAGAAAGGATGGTTCCGACCCACTGCACTACCGCCCAATTTCGCTGACTTCATCCCTATGCAAAGTGTTAGAGAGGATGGTGAATGATCGTCTCATGTGGTACCTTGACACCCACGGTTGTCTTTCCTAAGTGCAATGCGGGTTTCGGAAGAACCGATGCACTGTTGACTACTTAACGATCTTAGGCACAGCTATACTACCTTCTTTTCAACAAAGACGCCACACGATAGCAGTCTTCTTTGACATTGAGCGGGCTTATGATACCACCTGGCGCTATGGCATTCTAAGCAAAGTACACAAGTGTGGACTCCGAGGTCACATGGCACTCTTCACTGAAAACTTTTTACGTCGTCGATTCTTCCGCGTCCGAGTGGGTGGCATGCTATCTGATCGCTATGAACAAGAGAACGGTGTTCCTCAAGGGAGCGTCCTTAGCGTAACCCTGTTTGCGCTGATGATTGATGATATCGCCGACTGTTTGCCACCTACCATCAGTCGGTCACTGTTTGTGGACGACTTTGCCATCTGGTGTGCGGCATCCACAACGACGTCTGCTGAGAGGCAGCTTCAGTTATGCCTGATTCGACTAACTGAGTGGAGTCTTAAGAATGGCTTCAAATTTTCGGCCACTGAGACTAAGTGCGTGCACTTCTGCTCACGGATTAGAGGCTGTAGAGACCCGGAGTTGCGACTGTGTAATGCCACTATCCCAGTTTGTAACGACATCTGTTTCCTGGGCCTCACGTTTGACCGTCGGCTCACGTTCAAGCAACACTTTAAGATGGTTAAGACCAAGTGTCTCAAGCGTATGAACCTCATGAAAGAAATGTGTCGTATGACCTTTGGAGCCGATAGAAGCACCCTGTTGAACCTGTATGGGGCCCTAATTCGATCAGTCATCGATTATGCTAGTCCTGTCTACGATAATGCTCCTACATCTTCAAAGCAGGTTTTGGACACAATCCAACACACATGCGTTCGTATAGCCACTGGGGCGTTTCGTACGACCCGAACAAGAAACTTGCTGGTGGAAGCGAATGAACCGCCCTTGCCTCATAGGAGACAACGGCTTACTTTGAATGACGCTACAAAGGTTTCACAATTTCCGGATCACCCAGCCTTTAAGTTCATCTTCTCTCAGACGTTGATCCGTTTTTTCTTGAGGGGGCGGCCCACGTCAGCGCGGCCGATGTGCCTCCGCGTCCGGGACTGCCTGGACGAGGCGGATATTACGCTGGATGACATTATCCCGCACACTCTTCGGGACCCAGCTCCGTGGAGACGTCTGAGTATTAAGCATGATTTGGAACTTTGTCAGTATCATAAAAATGGCACTTCACCACGAGAGTTCCTCACGTCTTCGTTGGAACAGATCTCACAATACGCGAACTCATTACAAATATTTACCGATGGGTCCAAGGGCTCAACAGGAACGGGTTGCGCATTTGTTTGCGGTGACCATACCGTAGGTCTATGCCTCCCGCAGCACCTTTCAGTTTTTTCCTCAGAACAGTTTACCATTTTAGCAGCGCTTCAGTACGTTGCTTGTCGTCCTGGAAGGGATATAGTCATTTTGACCGACTCGCGTAGTGCACTTTTATCATTAGATCCGACGGCGATGTCGCGTGACCACTCATTTTTGACTCGCTCAATTTAGGAGGAATTGGAATGGCTGGACAGCACGTCGTGTCGTATCACATTTATGTGGATCCCCAGCCACATAGGAATGATGGGGAATGAAAAAGCCGACGCCGCAGCGAAAGCTGCGGCGTGTGAGAGAAACCCATTACCAATGTATGTACCCGCTCGAAATCTAAAGTCAGCCATTTCCAAATACGTCCGCAATACGTGGCAGCACATGTTCGACCAACACCTTCACGCTTTCAGAGAAATCAAGCCCCAACTGGGTGATTGCCATTCAATATAGATAAACTTGAGGCCACCGTTGCTACAGAACGTCTGACGCAGTGTAACAGTGAAAAAATCCAGTTCCTGAAAATTTTACGTCAGAGTGGCCATTTCATTTTGCTCAAATCAATCTGCCATGTACTACGGATAATTTGAGGCCACCATGGTTACTTTGCGGAACATATGAAAGACTGATGATATCCACGAGATGCTCAAACGCCTCTCGTCGTCCGCTTGATGGCCTGCTATTCGCTTCTAAGCTATTGTTGAACCGAGCTGGATTCCCGGCAGCCTGGTGGAATACCACGATTGTGCCTCTTCTTAAACCAAGCAAGAATGGCTCAGGTCATAGACCCTCCACTTTCACCTCGTCACTATGTAAGTTGATAGACAAGATGGGAAACATGATGCTGTCGTCGCGTTTCCTTGAGGAAGGCATGCGAAATGATGTCCAATGCGCTTTAGGAAGCATCATAGCACGGCGAATCCGACACTTTACGCCAATGTAGCCCCACCCTTAAACAACAGCATATGGTAGAAACCTATGTTGACGCTCAGAGAGTTTTTGATTCAATATGGTGTGATCACATTCTGGTCAAACCTTCTAAACATGGGATTCGTGATCCTATATATATATATATATATATATATATATATATTATCTTCATTCCAGAACTTTCTGTTAGACCTCTTTCCCGTAAAGGCTGGTCATCACTTCTCATATTTTTATTTACAGGTTGGTGCAATACGACAAGGACGTGTTCTAAGCCCGCCATTATTTGTCACCAAGTTTAATGACGTTGAGCCACATTTCTCAAATCCATTGACCGATCTCTGTTTACCAACAATTTTGGCATGTGATCGCCTGCATTTAAAGCAACAGCTGTGGAGGAACAGCCCCAGACGGCTGTAACGCGTATGAGGGCTGGAGTGCGCACAATGACTCCAGTTGTCGATCGAAAGGCGCTGTCCGCTTACGTGGGCGTCGGAGCTGTGCGCAATTTACGCAATCGGCAGCACAGACAGTCTCCCAACCCGAGCCGAGTGGGCGTTTTCTCGGGATTTAGCTCGATAGTCGTGCGACGTAATGGCAACATGTCAAAACTAGCACGGAAAACCACTTAGAATCAATAAACACTTTAACACGTCTTGCACAAGCATCTTACGGGCCAGCAGAAAAACACCTTTATTATTGTATCGTGGTCTGATACGCTTCAGCTTGAATTATGACTGTTTTAAATACGATGCTGGCTCAGAGTCTGTAAAAAGGCACTTGGCACGTGGTTTGTAACACTACGTTACGAATTATCGCTGCAGGTCACTGTTGCCCTTCGCACATATCAGTCAGATTGCTTATCAAAATCAACGAATCACCCCCGGCATCCCGAAGGAAGTCGCTGGGCATACGGTAAGCTTGCAGATTGACGCTGTTTCCGAATCACTCAAAACGTAGTGATGTGGTGTCGCGCCGTGCATTCAGCGTTTTTCAGGGCGATTGCGAGGCGCCGCGTCGTTCTGTATGCGCGTTTGTGACGTCCTTTGTGTGATAGCGGTCCGAGTCTTCCGGGTATGAGGCGACCACGTTGCCTGCCAACCCTTCCGAAGGCGCCTGGTATCACCAGTCGTCGACGTGTCTTTGGCGCAGGTTCAGAAGCAGAATATGAATCCATGTGTTGCTAGACAAGCAGCCTTGCACCGTATCTGATCGCATTAGAAGTACACAACGCATACACGGAGGTTCCAAACAGATACAGCCGTTGGCTGCAAATTGTGCGACCCGACTACCTGCCCCAGGCCGGAAAGACCGCGCCACTGTGGTCGATTCCGATGACGATGATTTGGGCTTACGGACGTACCGACTACGATGG